CCCCAGGGCAGCAGCCTCTGGGGCCCCTGGACTTTTGGTGGTTGGGAGGAGGGACGAAGTGAGTCTAGTACCTTGATGCCTGCACTCCGGCACTTGCCCACAGCGTCCGGCACGGCAGCCCGTGGAGGGTCAATCATGGACATGAGCCCCACGAAGCAGAGCTTCTCCGTGGGAAAGTTCAGCTCATCTGTGTCGAATTTGAAGCCCCGAGGAAACTTTCCAGAGGGCAGATTCAGTTGACAGAAGCCTGAAGGGGACAGAAAGGAGGAGTGAGAGCAGCAAGGTGGCTGCCGGGTTGCCTCCAGAGCCCCTCATCCCAGGGAAGCCTTTCTCAGCCCTGCTCCCTGCTTCTGGCCCCTCACCTAGCACTCGCTCCCCCAGTCCTCCCAGCTCCAGGTAGGCATTCTGGAAGGCGTCTTGCATCTCCTTGTCTAGAGGGACCTCCTTGCCCTGCACCAAGATGGAGGAGCACCGGTCCAGGATGCGCTCGGGGGCCCCCTTCATCACCAGCACGTAGCTCTGGGGGCTGTCTTCTCTCTCATGGATGGACAGCTGGAGAGAGGAAAGGCAGTTACAGAGGGGCCACACTTGTCTTGAAGCTCCAGTGCCCAGCATGGGGCCTGGGACAGAGCAGAGGCTGGTAAGGAAAACTCCCTTAATAAAATACCAGCTGATCCATCAACCATTGTCAACATAGGGAGAGTCTCCGTGTGTGGATGGGTGTTTGGACCTCATAGTCCTAACCCTGTAACCTGAGAGTCACCTTCCCATAGGACATTCATTCACTCAGCAAATATTTACTCCAATCAGAACAACCACTGTGCTAGGGGTGAGGTGGCTTTGTCATCAGCACGCCCCATCACCACACTGGCCTTAGGGGGGCTTTACCCCTATGGCTTTTACAGGACATAGCTGAGACTGTATTCTTGGCATTTAACAGATGCCCGCAGGTTGAGGGATACCCTAAGGAAATTTCCGACGTATGGTTCAACTGAACGGGATGGAAGGGTTGGGGGACTGAAGCCAGAGGATGTGGAGCCCTGGGAAGAAGAGCTGAGAGAGTGACAGGTTGTAGTAAAGGAATGAAGGTTTGGGAGCTGGGTGTGGGGTTGGTTGTTGCAACCAGACATCTGGTCACCCACGTTGCCCCGGGGTATGATGCAGGGGTGAGAGGGTGCTCAGATGCTCTCTTTCCTGCTGTTGATTCCCCTTTGACTCTGTGTGCCCCTCACTTCCATCTCTCCCTCTTCCCTTGACCTGGCACCCAAACCAGACCTGGTACTTATTGGTTGAGTTGAAAGGGATCTCCGCCACCTTGGGGTTTCTATCCCTCATCTTCCTCACGGAGCCACAGGATAGCTCAATGCACTTGAGCAGAGCTGACTCTGAGGCATCACCAGCTGTGTCCCGCTGCCAACAAGGAGAATTCAGTGTCACAGTGGAGGACAAAGGAGGGAGGGCACTGACGTCCCCGAGGCAGCCACAGGGTGCAAGAGGGGAAGCTGGGCTTCAGCAAAGTGGGCGGGCTGTGGCGATCCCCAGACCCCCTACCTTAGACACAGAGATGTTCTCCTGCCCTGCCTTGAAGACAGCACGGTTGCAGAGACCAGCAATCCGGGACAGGGCAGTCCACGTGGGGGATCGTTTGTCGAAAGTGGCCCCTGGGAGGAAAGGAGAGAGAAGCAGGAGCTTGGCTCTCCTTTAGACCTCGTATCTCACCCCACCCGTCCCACCACTCCAGTGCCCTGAACATCCTCCGGTCCCCTCCACCCACTCTGGGTAGAGCACTCAATCACCAGACTGATCTTCTGTGGTGTCGGCCTCATGGATCTGGTTGTCAAACCACATGTGGGCGACGGTCATGCGGTTCTGGGTGAGGGTGCCCGTCTTGTCGGAGCAGATGGTGGAGGTGGAGCCCAGCGTCTCCACCGCCTCCAGGTTCTTCACCAGGCAGTTCTTCCGAGCCATGCGCTTGGCTGTCAGGGTCAGACACACCTGGTGGAGAGAGAGGGCAATAAAAAGGGCTCAGCCTGAAGCTGGAGATACCCATGTCCTTACCCCAGACCATGGCTCTGTCCCTCCTCCCTTGATCCTACTCCATGAACACTGAGAGAGACCTAGGTATAAGTCATGAATGTGTTCCATTTTAGACGTGTTGAGCTGAGATCATGAGTGTATATTTAGGTGAAATGTCCAGTAGGGAGTTGAAGATATTTGGCCAGAGCTCCAGAGAGGGCCAGAGTAGAACAGGGTGTAGGTATGTGTGAGTCATCAACACCAAACAGGCACCAGAAACTGGGAGGAGATGAGCTTACTCAGGGGCATCAGGAGGAAAGCAGAGCACTGAGGACTGAAGATCGGTGGAGGTGGGGAAGAGGAAACAGTGCAGGGGACTGGGGAGAGGAGAACCAGGGTAGTGATGAGTCACAGTCATCAACGAAGGAGAGAATGCTAGGAGGGTGGACAGCAGTATCCATTTCAGCCCCAGAGTTAAGGATGGGAGCTGAGGAAAGGTCACTGGATTTGCTAATTAGTCACTGGTGACCTTGGAGAGAGCCTTGACGGGAGGGTTAGCCAGGATGAGCTCCAGAGGGCAGTGGGGAGATGACTAGTACAAGGGTTGTGAGAAAAGGCGACCAGGACAAGCTCTGGGAGAGAAACTGAGAGTGAAGGCACAGCCCAACCTAAAACCTTTCAGACTCAAACTCTGAGCCATGTATTAAATGATCTTTTTCAGACTCACATTCTAAGCCATGTTTTAAAGGAGAATCGAATATGTGGTTTCAGGGGCTGGAAGTAAAAAAACTGCAGAGAAGCCATAGCCTCTCTTGCTTTTGAGGCAGGGTAGCAGAGCCCTCCCCTGGAGGCTCCTTGGCCTGACCCACTCACAGTGACAGTGGCTAGCAGCCCCTCAGGCACATTGGCCACGATGATGCCGATGAGGAAGATGACTGCCTCCAGCCAGCTGTAGCCCAGGATGAGGGACAGCACGAAGAAGGATACCCCCAGGAACACAGCCACCCCCGTGATCAGCTGGATGAAATGCTCAATCTCCATGGCTATGGGTGTCCGCCCGACCTCCAAGCCTGAGGCCAGAGTGGCTATGCGGCCCATCACGGTCCGGTCACCTGTGGCAATCACGATGCCCCTGGCAGTGCCTAAAACACAGGAAGGGACACGAGGTTGGGTGCCTTGGGGGTCCCAGGAACTGAAGTCTCATCCTACTTCCTGGGAGAGGAAAACCATCACAGAGTAAAGAAGCCAAAGACTGTGGGTCGCTGTCATTAGATTGTACCTCCCTTGGCTTCCTCTCCCAGCATAGATGGCCAATCCCAGACTCAATACAACAGCAGATTACCTTCTCTTATACCTGGGCCTGGGGAGAAACCTTGCAAATAAACTCAAGGTTCAAACTGAGGAGATTCAGTGAATGAAATAAAAGTATTGCCTGTGGTATTTCAGTAAAATCAAATCTCATACTTGTTATCATCCAAAAATATATTACAAACACAAAGTAAAGCACTTATGGACTTTCCCTGTAGTCTTTCTCAACACTAGGCATGAATCTCTACAGAAGAAGCTAGGCAATCTCTAGCCCTTATGTAGACATTCCAGGGGTCTTCAGGGGAGGAAGTGTGCTGGAGTGGAAAGAGCATGCATCGGAGCCAGCCAGACCTGGGTTTGCATCCATCTTTGAATTTCTACTTAGGGGTTGTTTTAATAATGAAGTGAGACAGTGTTGTCATACACCTAGAGCAGTGCCTGGCACATAGTAGGCACTCAACAAATGTTAGTTCCGTTCATTTCCTCTCCTCTCTTCAAAGCCAGTTCAGAGTAAGCAATGGACATGTTTTACTAGGCATTTTTATCAACTGTGGGAAATGTAGAGCAAATTTCAGAATCTCAGTACATTAAGAATTTAGGAAACAATGTGTGGTGATTTTCACTATGATTCTAACTTGCTGAAGGAGGGGAAAGCCCAGAGAAACAGAATACACACTGAAGAGAAATGAGAAACGGGAAGGGAAAGGTATGTGTGAGGAGTGGGGGTTCAAGGTCTCCTCTGACCCACTTTCTGAGGCCCATGGTCTAGTCAGGCTCTTCCTCCCACCAGCTCTGGCCCCGGCCTCCCTCTCCGAGTCAGCCCGACTCTGTTCACTGGCACAACCAAAGAGGGCAGGGGTTTCGGTGGTGCTTGGACTCTGTCCACTCAGTAGCGGCAGCTCTGGGAGCTCTTCCTGGCCTTTGGCCATCTCTAGAACCCAGAGCAGTGGTGGGGCACACTGGGCAGCCTGTGCATGACCAACAGTTTCTTTTGGTGAAGCGCAGGCCAGGATGCAGCCTGAAGGAAAGCCTGAATGTTCACCTGGACTGAGAGCTTTCCTGTCCCTTCCCCAGCCTGGGCCCTGGTCAAAGCAAGGGTCAGAGAATGAAGCAACTAGTCCCAGAACCAGGAGAGATGGAAGCCATCAGTCAAACCAGAGACTTCTAGGAATCAAGGACGGTTTGGGGCGTGTGCATGTGTGTGTGTGTGCATGCGTGTGTGTGCGTATGTGTGTGTGTGTACGGGTGTTGGCCCATATCTGAAGGCTTGGGAATCTGCGCTGTCCTAGGGTGGACAGAACAGAGCTCTTTCTGTGGGGAGGTGACTTTTCCCTGGAGTCATGCCACCCCAGCCAATTCCGTGCTGTCTGGAGGGGGACTAATTCTGTAATACTCAGGGCTCTCTGCCCCTTCCATTCCCTCCTCCATAGCTTTTGACAAGTAAGTACAGCCATAGCCCCCAGTCCTGCCTGGAGGCTCAGGATGCAGGCTTCTCCCTCAGCTGATGCTGGGACCAGGGGCTCCCCACCAGGCTAGCCTCTCACCTTCCACGCAGTTGGTAGAGAAGAAACAGATATTGCGGGTCTCCAGGGGGTTCTCGTGGGTGAACTCGGGGGAGCGGGTCTGGGGCTCCGACTCGCCTGTTAGGGATGAGTTATCCACCTGAGGAGGAAGGCGGTGTGGAGTCATCAGATGGGCAGACGCATTCAGGCATGCACAGCTGTGTCCTGACTCCAGCCACACTCAGTCTCCATGACACCCAAGACAGAATTACACTTGCCCTCATCACATATTTATAGCATTACTCAGCTATTGTCCCTGCTCTGGTTTGGAATCTGGGCTCTCACTGACTTCTGTGACCTTGGGCAAGTTATTTAACCAACATTGCTTCCCTTTACTCATCTGTAAAATGGAGAATGGAAGTAGAATCTCTGCATTGCACAACTACAGGGGGGGCCATTAACACCGTAGTCAATGAAAATGGCACCGTCTAGGGTTGTGCATGGCATGACTTGTGTGGCCACATGCAACCACCCAGCACGATTATATCATTCTTGCAGAGTTAAATTAGGTAGCCTATGTGAATGTATATAAAGCATCTGACACATAATAATACTCAATATATGATTGCTATAAAGTGGATATCAAAGAAACACCGGGGGTGCAGAGCATTCATGACACACAGATACAAGGATGCATACGTGTAATATGTGAAACAAGGTGTGGCTGGGCAGTGTGGGGCAGGTGTTGACATCTGGACCTGGGCCTCCCAAACTTCAAACTTCTAACGGGCCCTTCTCAGCTTTACACAGCTTGCTTTGTGGACTCAGCCAGTGGCTCTGGCCTGGCCCCCTCACCTTACAGCCGTGAGAAGAGATGATCCGGAGGTCGGCAGGCACTCGGTCTCCACCCTTCACCTCCACCAGGTCTCCCACCACCACCTCCTCCGCATTGATCTGCATCTTCTCTCCTTCCCGCACCACGAGGGCTTGCTGTGGGGAGGCCCCGGGGATCTCAGGAGATGCTCATCTCTACCCCTACCTTCCTCTTTTACTGGTGTCCCACCTGGCCTCCAACCCCACCAAGGAGGACAGACCTTGCACCCTTAGCAACAAAATAGGTCCTGGCCTGAAGAGCTGGAGGGTCTTTTTTGCCCAAGCCTCCATCTCAGAGCCCAAGGATTTGAAGAGATGAGTCTCCCAGAAACCTTATGCCTCAGCCTGGAGCCCAGCTCTGCCATCTACCTGAGGCACCATGTTCTTGAAGGAATCCATGATCTTGGAGCTCTTGGCCTCCTGGTAGTAGGAGAAGCAGCCAGTGACGATGACCACAGCTGCCAGCACCACGCCCAGATACAGCTGGTAAGGAGAAAGCTTTTGAGGGACCGGCCCTTTGCCCAACCTGAGAGGGGCAGCTGCCACTCAGGATGAGCATCCAGTGCCCCCCTTTGTCTGCATCTGGGAGTGAGAATGGTGGAAGAAAGTCCTTCTCTCCAACCTCTCCTTCAACCTTCTAATCCCCAGCCTCCTAAGACTGGAGGGGGTGGGGAAAATCATAGGGAGTTCCCAGGACTAGGACCTCTCTAGGGGGTAAAGACCCAGGGATGCAGACAAGCCCACTCAAGTGTGAAGGAACAGGGAGGGGCTGTCTCAGTCGTGAATGATTGTGTATGTTTGTGCTGGAGGAAGAGTGTCTGTAGATATGTGTAGAAGTCTCACCCCCTTTCAGCCTAAAGAGCAGAGGGGCTGTCAGACTGTACAGGAAGGTCTTGCTCCCTGACCCCCACCCACTGTACTGGAGATTCAGGGTTGGAGGACAGAATCATGGGCTGGTACAGGGGTCAGGCGTGCTGGCTCACATTGTCATTGGACGGTTCATCCTCCATGGCAGCCTGGATGCCGTAGGCCAGGAAGCAGAGGATGGCCCCAATCCACAGCAGGATGGAGAAGCCCCCGAAAAGCTGGCGACAGAACTTGACCCACTCAGGGGTGGTTGGGGGTGGGGTGAGGGCATTGGGTCCATCCCGAGCCAGAATGTCCTGGGCCCGCTGGTTGGTGAGGCCCTGAGGGAGGCAAGGAGAGGTGTGGGAGCTGAGCTCGCATCTGGAAACAGCCAGGCCCCTCATCACTCCCCACCAGCTCCCTGGCAGCAGAATAATGTCCAGGTGGAGAGAAAAATTCCACCTGGTCAGAAGGGGTAGGGGGCCATCAGGAGAGGCCACACGGAGGAGGTGGCATTTGCAATGGGTGTTGGAGGACTTGAAGGCTGAGTAGGATTTTGGCTGTGGTCCCCCCACCTCTGGTCAGCCTTGGGTTGAGACACATTTTGGTTAGGGCCACAATAATCTCCTCTGGAGGCAGCCTTGATAAGACTCCCTGGAAAGACATCTCAATCGATCTCCACCCCCCACCCCAACTCTCTGCCTTCAGATTCCCCGCTTCACCAAGGATTCAAGAAGAGTCCTACATTACTGACCATGAATGTCACACAGCTTTGGTCACCAACCATCTCTTTCCCCAGAAAGCTTTGCCTGATCCTGTTGCCCTAGCCCCGGGCTGGCTCACATGCCGCCTCTCTGGGTCCCATTGTACCCCAGGCATGATTCTAGAGCTGTACTCACTATATGGCATTGGAATTCTGTTTGCCTTCCTTTCTGCTGCTGGACTTTGAGCTCCTTGAGTGCAGGGGGCACTTCTTATTTCTCTTTCTATCTGTTCCCTCATTTATTTAATAAATGTGTATTGAGCTCCTACTACATGCCAGGCAATATGGTCAGTGCTGGGGATCCAGAGATGGACAAGACCCACAGGTTCCTGCCTCGTACAGCTCATGATCTCGTGAGGTAACACACTATAAATAGACATTACTGCCAGATAGTGAAAAGTGTTACTTAAAAAAATAAAGTAAAGTAAAGGAAGGGGGTGTAGAATTTTCAAAAAGGCAGTCAAGGAAGGCCTACAGGAGGAGGTATGCACCCATTACATTTCTGATGAACGATTATTTTACTTTTCTCAATGATGGGCTTGGCAATGTGACTGTGCCACTAACTATTGATATGGACATGGGAAGCTACTCTCTCTCTGAGTCTCCTTGTTTTAATGAACAGGTCTCCACACGTGGCTTGTTGTAAGGATCAGAGGAAAGTACGTCAAGCATCTATCCCAGCGCTACACGCATAGCAGCGCCTAACGCATTACTCTGATAATAGTCATGGGTTCCCCCACTATTGCATGTATGTCAGTTCCACGAGAGAAGGTGTGTCACTGAAGCTGCTTGGGATACAGCCCTGCCCAGAGGCCCTCCAGGGCCTGGGTTTTAAGGAGTTCTTGCTTCCAGACACTCAGGAAAGGAGTTGTAGACCAGGAAGCAGGGGATCTGTGTTCTAGCTTTGGCCCTGCCACCAACTAGTCCCTTGTCTCTGGGCCTTGGTTTCCTTAACTGTAAAGACAGTTGGCTTTGAGTTTTAAGGCCCCTTCTACCCTGAGGCTGCGTGGTTCTCTCACCTCTTTGGTGCCCTCCCTAGAAGCCCCTTCACTGACCTTGGACAGATCCACTTGGTACTTGCGGCCCAGCTCATCCAAGGACAGCTTGTGGTCATCCTGGAGAAGGGAAAGCAAGTTTGCTTTGGGGAAGGAGGCAGACTGTGTGTGTCTAGAATGCAACTGCGGGCACTGAGAGCACAGCAGTGAGGCAAGGAGCATGGTGGGGTGGGCACGAGCTTCCCTGAGGGGCAGCTGTCCCAGCATGGGAGCCCTTTTCCATGGCCTGGCTGGGGGCTCACCATGGCCACCTCCTTCTTCAGCTCATCCAGCTCCTTCTCTTTCTGTTTTTTCTTGCCGCCCCCATTTTCCGCAGTGGTGGCTGCAGGTGAGTACTCGCGGCCGGCCTGCAAGAGGAAGGGAGAGCCCAGGGAGTCAGGGAGGACGGAGGCTGGAGCCTCTATTCCCACTGGATAGCCTGGGACCCCAGGCATTGGGAGTGGGGGGCCAGTGGATTCAAAGTCAGTGGTCATCCCAGGGGAGGAAAGGGGGTTGCAGGGTGGCGGGGACCCCAGGCCCTCAGTTTGAAAACGATTAGCAGAGCCCCAGGGCTCTACATTTGAACTTCGGGAAAGGCTGAGGGGCTCAGGACTCAGGAGCCCACTCGTAGCTTTTGAGTAGTTGGGCTCATGCTAAGATTTTGTTTGTTGAAAGAACCCTGCTCTTAAAGCAAAGTAAACAAAAACCTTAAAAACCACCATCCTACACTATTTAGAATTGTAGAAGGGACTGGACAGGGCTGGGGGTTCGTTGAGGGAGCAGTACCCTGTAGGGATGTCTTTGTTCCAACACCATGGCTGCTTTACTCAGAGAGGAGTAGAGACAGTTAGGAATGGGGGTGCAGTTAAGAGTCTTTGGGGAGTCAGGGGTCAGGGCAGGGAACTGTCTGGAGGAGGAGGGGAACCACAGGGTCTGGTGGTGGAGTGTGGAAATGGGATGAGCAGGGCTCACGGACTGAGAAATCAGTAGTCGGAGGACAAGTGCGTCCAGGAAATGGGCGCGCAGAGCGTCCTGGGAGCCCTCTCCATCCTGCCGCCGCCTCCCACCAGAATGCAGGATTTGGGGTTGGGGTGAGTCATGGCCTCTTGCTGGCAAAGGTTTCTGGGGGAGTATCCCCAAGCCCCCCTCGCCTCCAGCTGGGAATATAAAGTGACTCCCCAACCCCTTTGGCCATGACACTTTTGGGACTAGGCTGCCGCTGCTTGGGCAGGATAAAAGGTGCTGGGAGGATCATGTGTCTGCAAGTCCTGTCAGCCAAGAAATAAAAGTTGACCTCAGAGCTGAAAAAAAAAAAAAAATTGCGGCTGGGCAAGAGGCAATTCACAGGACTTGAGGCCCCAGAGCACAATGGGGTGAGGAGGGAACTGGGCCCTGTTTGTCTAAAAATATAAGAAATTGTCTCTGAGCGTAGAGAATGGACTTGAGGACACGGGGAGGGGGAAGGGTAAGCTGAGACAAAGTGAGAGAGTAGCATGGACATATATACACTAGCAAACATAAAATAGATAGCTAGTGGGAAGCGGCCGCATAGCACAGGGATATCAGCTCAGTGCTCTGTGACCACCTAGAGGGGTGGGTTAGGGAGGGTGGGAGGGAGGGAGACGCAAGAGGGAAGAGATATGGGGACATATGTCTATGTATAACTGATTCACTTTGTTATAAAGCAGAAACTAACACACCATTGTAAAGCAGTTATACTCCAATAAAGATGATAAAAAAAAAGAGAGAAATTGTCGCTGAGAATAAATCTAAAACTGAAAACGCATGGAACTCTTAGGTCCAGACACTCCTGGGTCCTTTAGTGAAGTCAGGTGAACATTTTAACAGGAGTCTTGTGAGACTACCATTTCCCCCTCCTCTTACGGGCCTGTGGTCTCCTCGCAGCCACCAGGCTTCCAGGGTCTCACAGGGGCCTTCTGGCGGAGAGGGTGGGGAATTTATCCCTCCAAGGGGTCTTGGGTGATAGGATAGGAAGTGGCTGGGGAGGCCTGGGGTGGCGTGACAAGTGCCTTCTCGCCCCCTCTACCTCCCCAGGCTCCTCTCCTCCCACCTCCCTCGGGATGTTGTGTCCTTGTCACAGAGGCACTGCTCAGTTCCTGTCCTGTGCCTCCACTTTTCCACTGGACCCTAAGGGCCATGCCAGGGTTTCACGAATGAGCTTCTCTATACTATGATGAAATTCTTTTTTTGTGTGTTTTTTACTGTAAAGAGGGAACACCTGGGTGGGATCTACAGTCAAGGTGCTTGCCCTTTTTTTTTTTTTGCAGGATCATTCATTTTTTAAAAACGGACTTTTTCTTTCAGAGCAGTTTTAGGTTCACAGCAAAAGTGAGCAAAAATTACAGGCTCCCATATACCTCCTACCCGCCCCTGCACGGCCTCCCCATCATCAACATCTGGCACCAGAGTGGTACATTTGTTACAATGGATGAACCTACGTTGACACATCATTATCTCTCAAAGTCCACAGTTTACATTAGGGTTCATTCTTGGGGTTGCACATTCTGTGGATTTGGATGAATGCATAATAACATATATCCATTATTATAGTATACAGAGTAGTTTCACTGCCCTAAAAATCCACTGTGCTTGGGGATGATACATTTTTTTTCCATCAAAGAGGAGCCATCCAAGGAATGTGGCAGCTGCCCTGATCACAAGAGATCACGAATCTAGCACCTGGAGATACAGAAGTCTGACCAGTGAAATCAGGAACTGGAGTGGGGGAGATGCGGAGAGAGGTGGACACCGTTATCACCCAGACACTAATGATCTAGAAGGATAGGAACTCTTTGCAGGCTGTGTTGCTCAGAAGTGCTCTTCTTAGCAAAGGTGATCAGTAAATCTTGCATTTGTTTCCATGTGAAGCATCTATGGATCAAGGCTATTTTTGGCTTCCTGAGGGCTGATCTTCCTGGGGAGACTGCAGCAGCCCAACAGTAGGAGTGGGGAAGGGCTGTGAGTAGTGTTACCTCTCACTTCCCCAGGTGACTCAGGGGGGCTCATTTAATTGAATGGATTGAAACGTCCTGGATTCACAAATCTAATGCTTTGGATTCTGTCCTTGGTGGGACAGCACTGAGAAATGGATGAAAAGCAGCGAAGAGACAAGAGGCCAGAGTCTGGGGTGGATAAGCTTCAGTGCGACCCTCCATAGCTCCTGGGGCAGGAACAGGGTCTGGGCATTCACAGAGGAGGGGGCTGTGCCTGGGGGCCAAGGAGCAGAGCCCGGAGAATTTCTGTACATACAGGCATGAAGTTAAAGTTCATGAAAATTAGAATCAAAGGCATGGTTTAAAAAATTTCCCAGCCCACATATGTATGTCTGGCATGTACAGATGGTGGCTAAGCAAAGAAGTTCTCGGCAGCAGCCCCTTTCCCTAAGTGCCCATCCTGCTTTCCTGCAGGCAGGCACAGAGCTGGGGACACACTGCCCCGTCCCCCCTCCTGTCCTGGCAGGGATCTCAGGCTCTGCAGCCAGGAGCCTGCGGAGATTCGGGGCCAGCGGGATGCCCAGGCAGGAAAGAAAGAGAGGAAGCAGGACCACTGCCCTCCCCTCCTCCCTCCCCCGTCCACAAGTCCACAAGTCCCCCTCTCTGGGCCTTGAGTGCTGAAGGAGAACAGAGAGTTCTTTCTGAGAAAGCCCAGGGCTGGGACAGAGTCAGGGGCAGCTGGAAATCAGCCAACCTTCCCCCCCACCGCTGCCCTTCGGTGGCAGCTGGAGCAGGCTGGGCTCCCTCCCACCGGGGTTGTCCCTTCCCCCAACTCCCATGCTGCCCTTCACAGTCACAGGGTGATGAGGTGACAGTGAGCCCTTGCTCTGCAGGGAAAAGGGGGATTTGGATGGGGGGGTGCCTTCCCTCTTCAGGGGTCTCCTGGCTGGGTGAACTCCAAGCTCCCCCCTTAAGTCCCCCCACTCTCCCCAGCCTCAGTCTGGATAGAACCAGACCTGCTCTCTGACTCGCTACTGGGAGTACATGGGAAGGGAATTCAGGGATGCTGGGGGAGAAGCACAGAACCCTGAGGAAGTCAAGGTCAAATCACTTCTCAAGCAGGACCTCTTGAGCTGGGTCCACCCTGCGCTAAGGTGAAGGAGGGGAGAGGTTCGAGGTCCTGCGCCTCAGCTGGGGACTCCCGTTCCCTGGGGGAACAAAAGATGTGAAGGTGCAGCTGAAGGTCCCCAGACAGTATCTTCCCATGGTTGTGAGCTCTTCCTCTGTGAAGCCCACACGTCAGACACAGCTCCTCACAGACCTCACGCGCCCTCACACCGTGACATCTATGCTCACTCATACTTGAAGGTCTGCACGTTTGCAAATTTGTCTGCTGAGACACAAACACAGGTGCTCACCCATGAATGTCTGTATCAACTGCAGCCTATGGAGAACACATGAAAACACACACACACACACACACACACTCACACACACACACACACACTCACACACCAGTTCTATTTATAGCTCCCACCCTAGCTCAGGAACCCTGGTGTCCAAGCTCCGAGTTTTCTCAGCTGCTAAACTCAGTGTGATACCATGTCCTTGCCTGACCCCCCTGGGCCCAAAGAGCCCTACAGCTCCCCACAGGCACCTTCTTTCCTCAGCACCCTCCCTGTTGCTCCCCAGGCCCTTCCCCTCCCTGCTTTCTTCTGCCAGCATTCCACAAAAGGAAAGCCGCCAGGCACGCAGGATGTAAAGGGATTGGGTCACTTTTCTCCATATGGAAATTTCATTTCCAAGTATTCAAAGCCCTGGCCCTGTCCCCCACCCCCCTTCCCTGGTAGTTGTTAATCTTCCCCTTGGCATACCCAGTGCTGCAGAATGCCACAGGCTGGGGTGGACTGAGGGGGGTGCCTGCGGCTCTCACCAGCCTCTGGGAAAGTCCTCAAAGCACATGGTTTGCAGCCAGAGGACAATGCTGCCCGGGACTTCCGGGGGCGCTGGACGGGGCGGGGGGGGGGGCGGCTGGGGGCATATCACTCTTCCGCCCAGCTATCCCTGGAGCTCAGGGCCCCTGGAGCTGGTGTCCGGAACTGCTTGGTGACTCTGGAGTGGACGGCCCCTGCCCCTCTCTCCAGCCTCAGTTTGGACCCCCATCCTCTCAGGCTGGGACTCCCAGAGGAATGGATACTTTCAGAGGGTGGCGAAGGTGGGGAGGATTAACAGTACCAAATGTCCCTTCAGCTGGGAGGCTGGGAGATGCGGTGAGAGAGGAGGAACCGTGGAGATGTGGCTGGAGGAGCAGGGATGGAGATGAGGGAGGGGGTGGAGGGAGGGCCGGAGGGGATGCGAGTGGTGGGCTGCGGGGCTCGTGCTGGGGCTGCTGGTGGAGAGGACAGAGCTTGTGCAGCTGAGCGCTATGGGTCTGTGCCGTGGGGCTGTGCACACAGTCGTAGCTGGGACACTGTCAGTTCCAGGTTCAAACCAGCCCACTGCTCCTCCCGCCGTATCCCATCTCCACCTCATCCTTTCCCTCCAGCCTCCCTCACTGTCCAGAGAGCCCTACTGCTCCCCCCAGAGAGGCCCCTGCTCTTTGGGAATACTCACCCCACGGCCCATCTTGGGGCAGAGTGGCTGAGGGATCTAGATGGGGGAGGTCACCGGGAGGATCCCAAGCTCACACCACCAGCCTGGGGTGGCCAGAGACCCCAGCAGACAGGCAGACAGTGAGCAACAGGGTAGCTTTAAATAGGTCCCTCTCCCCCTCCCCCCCCTTCCCCTTCTCGGGAAAGAAATGTTTGTTGAAACAGGATCTCTGAGGACTCCTCCCCTCCCGCCCCTTAAGCAACTGGCCTGTGGAAGGTCCGTTTGTCCCGCTGAGTGCCCCCCCTGGGCTCCCCTCACCCTCCAAGCCCTGGCCTGGGGCCACCACTGCTGAGAGCAGGGAGAGGCTGTGCTGGGCTGGGAACATGCCCCTTAGGGACAGGCCGAGGGGGGAGCAGTCCCCTCAGCATCCCAGAGGCCAGATGCCATGAGATCTGACCCGTCTTCTTGTTTTCCTGATGGGGAAACTGAGGCTCAGGGAGATTGAACTATTGAGCTGATAAAACAGAGTCAGAATCTGGGTCTCCTGAGTCTACATCCAATCTCCCAGAGGAAGAAGCAGAGACTGTTCCTTCCAACTGTAGAGGTGGTGGGGATACCGAAGCCAGGAAAAGGTAGTGTTGGAACCCCAGGCCAGCCCTTGTGTATGAAGGGGGCCCCGGTGAGAGTCAAAGGCAGTTCAAGGAGCAGCACGTAGTCTGCTTGGAGATGGAGGGGAGAGGGTCTCCCAAGCCCTCCAGATGTAGCCTTTCCAAAGTTTGAGAATCAAGACTCCTGGGGCCTGGGAGGTGGCTGGCGGAGGGACTGGCTGGGCACAGAGGAGACAGCCCAGCAGGCTTCCCAGATAATATCTCTGGGTTTCGTTCACCTTTGTTACAAGCAGGACACGCCACTCCCTTAGTTGAGGAGCTCTAGGCTGAAATTATGCCTGGGGTTTGTGGGTGCGTGGGGAGAAGCCCCAAAAGAGGCAAATTCAGAGCTTCTAAGAGATACATGGAGATCAACAAGTACCAGACCTGTGAACTAGAAAGGAGGGCTACAAGCTTCCTTCTTCTGGTGGGGAAGGGAAGGCAAGTCTGCAGCTGGCAGGCTGGAGGGTAGGAGACAAGGGGCCGCTCTTCAGGGAAGCATGGGAGAAACTGAGGAAGTGCCTGGGGAGAGAGGTGGGCCCTCACCTCTGGCAGGAAGGGGGTCTGGAACCTGACACCAGCCGGAAACAGTGGTAGAGGAGATGGCTAGGAAAGGACCCTCTGGTCTAGAGGTGGTGTTGCTGCTTGTTAAAAGAACGAAAGAATGGGGGCAAAGGGAGGAAGCAGGGAACCAGAAGGGGCAGAGAGTGAAGAAAAAATCCTGTGCCTGCTTTCTCGGGGGAGCAGTCAGCAGACAGGGTTATCCTGGTGGAGGGAAGCCAGCCGATAGGGGGCAGGTCTGAGCCCTGGCTGGGAAGCTTGAAAGGAAGTTAGGAGAGGAGGGTGGGCTTGGGGCCCTTGGGCCAGAGGCCTGAGGTTTCTGCTGGCTGGGCTGGTCCCTCTCTGACCCCAGAGGGAACTCCCCACAGAGGGATTATCAACCTCTCAGCAAGTCCACTCTCAGGACACAAGGCTCTGAACTCCCCAAATAACTGGCCCCCTCCAGGCCTGCAGTCGGGATTTTCCATTACAGGGATCCGGTAGGTCACACCCTGCATCTGTCCTCCTCCTCCTCCTGGGTTGCAGCAGGAAGGGTGGGTGGAATGGGGTAGACACCTTCTCCACATGGGCCCCTCGACTGACCTTGAATTTGGACCTGGGGAGAACAGGTAGTGGGAGGAAACAACGAGGAGAAAACAGATGCCAGTTCAAGCCCAAGTGTGTAGAGGGGAGAGCGAGAGAGGTAGCTGAAGGTGTAACGAGAAGGCTGGTGGTTAGACGTCAGGAGAGACTGCCTGAAGAATTCAGGGGAAGAGTGACCCATGTGTGGCGGGGGCTCCGCACAGAGGGCAGCCTTGCCCTGGGGTAGGGGTGGATGAGAGATGACTTGGGATTTAGGAAACACCTGTTCCTCGGTTCCTAAGTTGAAGTGTTTGGGTTATCTTCTGCCTTGCCCTCTGCAGGACACAAGATGAGATAGAACACGGCCCCCGGAACTTGAGGGTCTGGAGGCTTCTGGCACTGGCCTCTCCTAGTTTTCACTCCCCACCCTCACCCCCCTGGCACCTCCCACTACTGCCCAGTCTTTCCAAGGCCCTGGCTCTGGTCCCCCTAGCCAGGCCCAACAGTGGAAGGGACTGTGCCCTTCCTCTGCCCACACAGCCTAGTGGGGGGTCCCTGCCTCGCCCTGCATTTGGGCTAGTGTGCAGCTCCAAGGGCACTGGTGCATGCACATCTGGGGCTCGGACAAAGGAAAGGGTGGACAGGACACCTGGGGCCCATTCCTCACCCATGTCGTGCGTCCCTGACCACCCTCCCTGCCCGGGACATTGTGGAGGCTCTGGGAGGCTACCTCCTCCTCCACAGTGGACCTCAGACTCCAGGACATCAGCCAGTGTAGACATCACCTGGTCCTTTGATCTGGGGGGCCTGGTCGGGCTCCTGCTTCCTTTGAACACAGCCGGTGGTGCCAGCTTGGATCAAAGCCCTTGGGGTAAGAAGAGCAAAGCAGAGAGTGAGAAAGACTTAAAAGTAGGAGGTGGAAAGGCCAGGGGGACTGGGCTGGGGGGTGGGTTTGAGAGAAAGTCATAGATCAGATAGGGGGTCCACAAAGGGCAGGGTGGCCAGTTGTGAATCAGGTGTTTGGTTGGTATGGGAGGATCTGGGAGGGAGGTGTGTGTGTGTGTGTGTGTGTGTGTGTGTGTGTGTGTGAGAGAGAGAGAGAGGGAGAGAGAGAGACAGAGACAGAGACAGAGAGAGACCGAGAGAGGGTCGGAGAGAGGCAGAGGAGGGCATATTCTGGCGTGTGTGTGTGTGTGTGCATGCGCATGCACCTGTGTGCTTGTCATTGACTGAGGGGGGCGTGACTGTGTGGGGTCCTGTGTGTGGGGAAGAGACCATGGGAAGGAACTAAGGTAACTCCAGAGGGGGATGTGTGGTCAGTGTAGTAAAAATCAGTTCTTTGTGTACCAGTGCATGTCAGTACCCCGGTGTGTGTGTGCGTGTGTGCGTGCGTGCATGCGTGCGTGTGCACGTGCGGCCGGTGGGGAGGACGTGTGGAGCCGGGTGGGTGTACGTGAGAGGCCATGGGAGAATGTGTATGTGCACAGGGAGGGGGTGGGGATGCCGCTCAGCTGCAGATGGGCTTTCAAGGTCTCCAAGAAACAGTTTTGTTTCCTAAGTGACTGGTCTCCTGGGGCCTCCAGCCCAGACTTGAAGGTTGTTTCAAGATCATGAAAGAGAGCGAGGGAGGGAGAATGGGAGGGAAGGAAGCACTGCCGCCCCTCTGGCCCTCTGCCTGCCCCTCACCCCACTTCTCTGCCCCAGTCCCCGATTGGGGCCCAGCTCCCCGGTCTTGCTCTGGCTCTTCCTCCTTTCCCGCTGCCAGCCCGCTCTGGGCGGCCTCGCTTCTCCCCACTGTCATTCCCTCTGAATCCCTTTTCCCTTTCTCCTTCCGGGCCTGTGGTCTTGTCACCACTGCCAGGCCCCCAGGGCCTTCTGGGGGAGTGAGTGGAAAAGCGTCTCCTTCCATGAGGAGGCTGTCTTGAGGTGCTATGGGGAGCCTGGGAAGGCCTGGAGTGGCCATGACACGTGTCCCAGAAAAGGTGCCTCTTCCTCCCTCTTCCTCTCCAGCCCTCTCTCCTTGTACTTCCCACAGGTTGCAGTGACCCAGTGGTGGGCAGAGTGGATGTCCAGGTCCTGCTGCTGCCTCAGTTTCACCACTGGACCGCAAGGACCATGTTGGATTTTCTCTCTCACTTGCTCTCCCCCGCTTTACATCTGCGCCTGTTTTCTTTCTGGTCTTCCTTTTCAATCTACACAAAATGTGTTCTAAAAACCTCTTCCTCTGTCTCTCCTTGTTTCTGTCATCTTTAATTTTTTCTCCAGATTATTCTTATTATCTTTTTTATTGTTAAAACCACACTATAAAGAGTTCAGGGGTGTGGGCCTAGAGAAATGGGAGGTTGGTGTTTTGTTGTACTTTAGTTTCCTGTGGCTGGTATGAAGACTTATGTTTGTATGTCAATGGTAATTATCTGGTAGAGAAGGAGAAACTGATAATTCAGAAGAGACAGAGATAAATTCAGGAATTAAGTCCTTCCGAGTAAGGATAGAATCCAAAGCACAAAAGGAAGTCCCGGGTTACATGTCTGATTGTAACAAGGAAACAAAAATAACTAAGTGTCAAGGAAACAAAAAAAACTAAGTGTCTCTCTTCCTTTGGATTCAATGTAAAATTATGCTTCCTGATTGAATTTAATTTTTTCACGAAGTTTGTCGTATTAAAGTAACTAAACAAGGAGACCATTAGATTGAGGTGGCAGCCTATGTAAGCAAACCAAAATCCAAACCCAAACATGTAAATGCCTCAAGATCATGAAATCAAAATGCTAAGGACAACCAATTCTAGGCTTTAAACTACGGTCATTAAATAATTTCCTTCCTCTTCCTCCACAGCGTCTTTATGTAAGTCTTTCTCCTAGCTTCTTTTAGCAAAACACTCCTAACCACTTCCAATTTGGTGGATTGGAATGGATTTTTGCTCAAATAAACTCTTGAAATTAAAAAAAAAAAAAAAAGAAAAGAATTCAGAAAATAGAGAAAAGGGCACCCAGAAGAATTTTCCTCCATCTCTCTGCCTCTGCTCCATGCCCACCTCTTTTGGCCCTCCTTACTGGTCTCTGGGTTTGGTTAGCTCCATGCTTGTGTCCTAGACACACAGTGGAAGTCCGGGGGAGGAAAAGGAAAGGACCTGGGTGTGGCCCAGGGGGAGCGTGTCAATCCTACTCCTTGAGCACGATGGCCCAGAGCTGCTCCGTGGCTGTCTTCCCACTGTCCTACCTGCGGCCCACACCACGGTCCAATGCAAAAGGCACATGTCTGCAAGACAGGCCGGCGAGGTTGGTCTCAGTGGGAGCACTCATGTGGCCTTGGGCAAGAGGCATCCCCACTCTGGCTTTGCTTCTTCATCTGAATAATGAGGAGTAGAGCTAGAAAATCTCTGAGGTCCTTTTGCAGCTCTGATGATCCCCAAATTTCAGGCTACTTTTTCCTCAGCTCATGGCTCAGCTCAGGTAAACGGGAAAATTTACCTGTGGTTCTATCACCAACCACCCGTTGGAGACCAGGGTTCAGAAGGAGATATAAGGGGGCAGGCACTCCTATTTGTTTATTAGTGTGACCCCAGAAGTGGGTCTGATCCCTTCAACTCTTGGCATAGAAGCAAGGAAGGGCTCAGGGTTTGGGCAAAGACTACCCTAGTTTCTTACAGAGAGCCTGTGTGAGAGGGGGAAGGGTCTGGCTGTCTTTTGGGGAGAAGGGCAGGGCTAGGAGTGAGGTTGGAGAATCTTGACATTTCTTGGCTGGCATTTGATCCACAAACAACAGATGAGTCTGTTTCCAGAGATTCTTCAGGCTGGGAAAAGTCTGTTAGGGGTAATGGGGAGGATGGGGTTAACGGGCCCCGCTGAGTGTGAGGGGCAGGGGTCACAGCTGGGCCCTCTAGGGTTCCTGTTTGCCTTTGATTCCATCTGGGCAGGGAGGGAGCGGCCCCCAGCCCCCTGAGGCAGGTTTGCTTTGGCCTGAGATCTGACCCAGCCACCGGCCCAGAGCTCCCCGCCTCCCTGCTCCCCCTATCAAGAGGCAGCCTGGTTCCCCCTTAGCCTCCTCCTTTCTACCTCCGTCTTCCCTAACCAGGCACCCTCCACTTGGCCCAGAATACAGCTCTGCTTGTCTGCCTGTCCCCTTTGGCGTTCCAGACACCCGGCTGGGACAGGATGCCCTGCAAACATCTGGCACACAGGGCCGAAATCTTGCGCCACACAGCGAGCTCTCCTTGGGACCTTGGGGAGCTCGGCCTCCACTGTGCCTCGGTTTCTCTGCAAGTCCAGGATCCTTTCACTCTTGTGCTCCTGTCTGGATGTTCTCAGCCTTGTCCCTTGGGGAACCCGAGTGCCCCCACGGATGATTCAGTCAATGATGTGGGCTCACGGTCAGTCCACTGCATCCTTCAGACTTTCTCCCAGTATTTCTGGAGCACTTATCGTGTGCCAGGTTCTGTGCAAGGTACTGGAGAGACTGTTACAATCAAGGCAAATAAGGTTCCCACCCTCATGGTCCTGTTGTCAGAATCTCATGGCCTTTAGTCACCAAATCCCTCTACCCCATCCCTTGATCTGGTCTTTCCAAGGGCAGCTCTGAGCCCTTGGTGATGCCTCATTTCCTCTAGCTCCCCTCACTTTTTTTTTTTTTGCGGTACGCGGGCCTCTCACTGCTGTGGCCTCTCCCGTTGTGGAGCACAGGCTCCGTACACGCAGGCTCAGTGGCCATGGCTCACGGGCCCAGCGGCTCCGCGGCATGTGGAATCTTCCCGGACCGGGGCACGAACCTGTGTCCCCTGCATCGGCAGGCGGACTCTCAACCACTGTGCCACCAGGGAAGCCCTCCCCCTCACTTCTTTACTTTTATTTATGCTAAGTGAGATTGGGTGGGTCTGGGTTCTGCTTCCCACCTGGGCGATTCTCCCATCCCAAAGATGCAGGACCAAAGGCTGGGCCATGGAGCACTAGACATCACCCTGGACTGGACCAGAGGGAGAGCAGAAGCTTGCCAGATAGGACTCAGTCCACCATGAACTAGACGTGTGAACCTGAATAAGTCCTTTTCCTCCCATCAATAGAGTGAGGGGGTGTACTGGGTAGTATACAGCTCACCTCTAGCTGTATACTAATAACCCATGCCTGGACCTCACCCCAGGGATCACGTTTTAGCTGGTCTGAGGTGGGGGACTCAGCCATCAGTAACTTTTAAAAGCTCCCAGATGATTCAATGTGCAATCAGAGTTGGAACCAATCATGTCTAAGAGCTCTAGCTCATCAGAGCTAACAGTTAATGAGGCACCGTGCTAAGCACTTTAGCACTTCCCATGAGTTACTTCATTTAATTCTCATAACAACTCTTTGATGGATGGGGAAACTGAGACACTCCCAAGATGCTTACCCAAGTAAGGCAGCTGGGATTCAAACCCAAGCAGTTTGGTTCTAGAACCTGCACATATAACTTCTGGGTTATAAGGATGCAGAGAAGGAGCTGCTCTATCCCCAGGAGCACACGTGCAGAATCCTCCAGGCTGCAATGGCGAGAGAGAGGAATGCCCCAGAAGATACAGGGAAGGAACAGTACAGCTGGCTGCTGACTGCACACTGTTGTGTTTAGAGGGTGATGGGAGCTCAGAGAAGGAAGAGATGGTTCTCAGCTGGAAGAATTAGGAGGCCTGCAGGGAGGAGGTGGCATTCTAGTTGGGTCTTGATGGATAGGTAGGATCCCGCTCTGGCTCAGAGAACCAGCGAGAGCGTGTTCTGGGTAGAGGAAACACAATGGGCACAGGCACAGAAGCCTGAAGCACCCAGTGCGCAAAGAAACAAGGGAGCTGATACCGGGAATGGGTGTGGGAGCCGTTTCATGGGGGGACCTTGAACACCAGACTAAGTGCCATTCTAAACGCCAGTGTTTCCTAAAAGGCTCTGATGATAATAATCACTTCGGGGGCTTATTGCAAATACAGGAGAGCAAGCCCATCTATTAGAAATTCCAATCCAGAAGGGCAGGGGTGGAGAGTGGGAATTTGTATTTTTACCGCCAAGCAACTTTGAAAAATATTGTTGTAAGCAACATGGAGCCACTTCAGATTTTTGAGCAGGGGAGTGATGCTCTCGGAAGGTTCACTGATTGCAAGGGGTGTGTGTACATGGACCGAGGTGTTGGGCTGGAAGGGAGAGACAGGTAGGAGGTTATGGCAAAAATTTAGCCAAGAGGTGACAAGGGTCTGGAGCAAGAGAGTGGCCATGGCAATGAGGAGAAAGGGATTTTGGGAGGTAGAATTTCAGGATTTGGCAATTGATTGTACGTCAGGATGAGAGAGGAAGGCGCTGGAGACGAGGGAGGATGCTGGTGCAGAGTGAATTAAGAGAAGGGTATGGAAGAAAGGAGGTTGTGTGAGAGAGAAGCCACACATTCGCCCCGGGGCATATTCAGTTTGAGATGTTACTGGCAGGGTCTCCAGGTGGCACTGGAACTTGGAAGAGAGGGCAGGCTGTGGAAGTCACCTGCACAGAGGTGGTCACTGAACCAGGAGCACCAACTATCTTGGACAGAACCTTGGGTAACACCCGGTGTAGAGAAGGAGGAGCCAGAAGATGCAGAAGTAGACGAGCCAGAGAGATGGGGGAACTGGACCAAGTAGGAGGCCTGGAAACCGAAAGAGGATAAAGTTTTAAGGGGCAAGGAACTAACAGCTTCAGATGCTACAGGAGGCCAAGGGGAAATGAAAGCTGCTCACTTTTGGGGGGAACTCAGAAGTTACTGGTGTGACCTTTGAGAAAACCATTTCCATAGAGGGTGGAGTTAGGAGATAAAATTGTGAAGGGATAAGGAGTGTATGGAAACTGAAGCAGGCGTGGAGGTTACCCTCTTCCAAGAGGAATACAGGAAGTGGAGGGAAAAAGACAGTGGGAGACAGAGAGCAGAGGGGGTGGGAACCAGGGGACAGACATGGCTCACTTAGAAGAATCTCCCCGCCTCTATTTGCTGCAGGTCCTCCTCCGCCATGCACCCTAGCTTTGATCATAGCCAGGCACCGTGATATCTATATTCTCATTTTATCTTCACAATAGTCCTCAAAACACCTAAAGTCAACACTGTACTAATTCTCATATTCCACACGGTGAAACCAAGGCTAGAGGAAGTCAGTAACAGGATGGAGGCAACACAGCCAGTAAAACTAGGTTCAGCCAGACCTATGCTGTCTGATTCTGGAATCTCAGCCACAAAGTTTTTTTTGTTTGTTTTTTTTGTTTTTTAATAAATTTATTTATTTATTTTTGGCTGCATTAGGTCTTTTTTGCTGCACATGGGCTTCTCTAGTTACAGAGTGCGGTCTTCTCATCGCGGTGGCTTCTCGTCGTGGAGCATGGGCTCTAGGCACGTGGGCTTCAGTAGTTGTGGCACAAGGGCTCAGTAGTTGCGGCTCGCAGGCTCTAGAGCTCAGGCTCAGTAGTTGCGGCGCACAGGCTTAGTTGCTCTGCCGCATGTGGGATCTTCCCGGACCAGGGCTCGAACCCGTGTCCCCTGCATTGGCAGGCGGATTCTTAACCACTGTGCCACCAGAGAAGTCCAGCCCCAAAGGTTTTTTTTTTGCGGTACGCGGGCCTCTCCCGTTGCGGAGCACAGGCTCCGGACACGCAGTCTCAACGGCCATGGCTCACGGGCTCAGCCGCTCCACGGCACGTGGGATCTTCCCAGACCGGGGCACGAACCCGTGTCCCCTGCATCGGCAGGCAGACTCTCAACCACCATGCCACCAGGGAAGCCCCCAGAGTTTTTGACTAAGATGAGAACACAGAAGTTTTACTTCATATGCCTGAGCTCCTAAAGCTAACCAGCTTCATCCCCCAACATGGGGGTCTGCTCTGTCTAGTCACCTGCCCCCAGGGACATCTAGTTCAGAAGCTGGCATCCTCAGCACCAGCGCTCGGTGCCTCAGTGCCCTCTGGAGCAGGCAGTCCTGCCCACCTGGATTCCCATCACCCTGTCCTGCCAGCTGGCTGGACCCGCACCCTTGTCGTTCCCCCAGACACTGGCTCTTCGGGATTGCCGTTTGTCCTATGCAGAAGCTGCATGGCAACGTAATCAGGAACTACTGTGGAGTCGGAATGCCTGCATAAGAAACCCTAATCTACCACTCATTGGACAAAAGTTTAGCTTCTCTGAGCTTCAATTTCCTTATCAGCTCTAATTCACAGGGTTATTTTGAGAACTCAGATGCTCGATGCATGTCCGCTACTATATTTTCTGCCCTTGCTGTTCCATGTCCTGGTCTTGGGATCGCAGTTTCTTCCTTAGGTGAGTACAGTCTCCAGCACACTTCCTCCCCAGAGGACAGAGCTCGGCCCTTCCCAGGCTGCCCAGGAAGCCAGGCTGGGTTGTCTGCTGAGGGATGGAAGGTTAGGGCTCTGAAATAAGAGGAGAAGCTTTCTGTCAGCTGTGGATCGTCTGTTTGTCTGTGGAGTTGTCAGACAAACTCCAGAGGGGGCAACAGTGCCCACCGTGGAGGCGATCTGGCCACGAGAGAAAGGACCCAGCTTCCCTCTCTCTCCGTCACCCATTTGCTCCCTCGCTTCCTCAGTTGCTTGGCACTTATCTGTGGCGCTTCTCCTTGTCAGGCGCTGCGCTAGGCATGGGGGCAGAGACAAGAAGAGCCAACGGTGGCCTTGAGCGGCTCGCAGCCAGGATGGAGAGGCAAATATAAACCAGGCTTGGGACAACAATGCAGAGTGGAAAACGCCATCACAGGGCTGAGGACAGGTGCTGTGGGAGCAGGGGAGGGCACGTGAGCATCAGGACCCCAGGCCCGCTCCACCCCCACCCCCACCCCCACCCCCACCCCCACCCCCACCCCCACCCCCACCCCCACCCCCACCCCCACCCCCACCCCCACCCCCACCCCCACCCCCACCCCCACCCCCACCCCCACCCCCACCCCCACCCCCACCCCCACCCCCACCCCCACCCCCACCCCCACCCCCACCCCCACCCCCACCCCGGGCGAGCTCCTTCACCCTCACCATCCACTCTGTTTCTTTGTTTTTGTAGTCTTTATTTTTGGCTTTGTTTTCCCTTCTCTTTTCCAACAGAGAGCCTTTGGAAAAATTCCACCCTTGTTTCAGTTGGACTAGGGAAAAGGGCATTTGTCTACTCTTTGTCCAGGAGAACCAAGGG